TCTTAACTCTTTAAGAGCTACAAGAAGAACAATTATATATATACCCACCAAAAATGTCTTCCTTTTCCAATATGGGACAATGTCTCATTATCAAGAGGGGGAAACTTAAAATTTTTACTCAAAATTTCATTTTCCCTCCATTTCCCATTCACCCTCATTTTAAGAATATTTCATCTTAAAAATAAAAGCTCAACCGTTTCTATATTTTTCGAATATCTAATTGTCCATCTTTTTATCACATGTAAAAGCACCTCCAAAAGCAATATAATCCATGTGATCATTTACATTTTTTAAGAAGAAGGGAGAACTAACTGTAAATTTTACTCGTGTGGATATATAAATTTCCTCAAGAACTACTTTAACTATTTCCCTAGCAGTATTTAAAAAATATTTTCACCATCCGATGTTTTCATTAATTAAAGTGAGAATATATATATATCGATTACTTATAAATAAGCAATAAAATCTATATGTAAAATATCTTGTATTCATTTACTTGATGTAAAGATTGACTAAAATAAATTTTTTAGGTAGTATTAATCAATAGCGCAACCGCCCTTATTCCAGGGGATTAATTGATTCTTCTTCAAAAAAAATAAAATTACAGTGTATAAATATGTAATATATATTATTAAATTTTTTTAATTTCTTCGTAATGCACACTTTTTATATTTTAAATTTCATAAATATTATGTTGGATGTGATAATTGTGCATGGTGGTGACCCACAAAACCAATCACATCCATAGATCATTACGACATATTGCCTCAACTAATGACCAATCAAGTCCAGAGATCATGCCAACTTTTTCAATTTAAATTTTAGTTTTCAGAACTCCAAAATTGTTGTAAATTTGTGCAAGTGACACCAAATCCTACACCAACACGTGGCTGCAAATGGACGCTTTCTCGTGCTCTGCGTTGTAAAAACAAAAAAAACTTATCCCAACTCCCCAGAGGCAGAGGCTCACCTTCGTCATACTGACGCCAACCCAAACCAATCTCCGAACTCCGAAACAAGGATACCTTTGTCATTTCATACTTTCACTGTTTCACAAATAAACAGAAATAACTACTCCCTTCTTCTCTCAAGTTATAGCCTTAAAGGCATAGCACCCAAATATCTATCCTGCACAATTACTCTTTCTATGTAAGTCAAACAATTACTGATATATTGACAGTTTTTAAAATTATAAAAATGTAGTTCTATACTCTAAGATGAAAATTAATGCAAAATCACATATATTAGCTCTCGTACTCAAGCTTTGTATTTTGATAAAGGTGGTCATGCACCTAAACTATTTTACTAAGTATTTGGTATATATACCGAATAACTCTACACACACTTGGATAAATAAAAAAAAATTACTTAATATTTTTATCTATACTGCTCTTATTCAAGCTTTATCAATTTTTTACTGGAAAAAGTATTTAAATCTTAAACTTTGAAATGATGCCTCCTTAATCACTTACGGGTTATTTAGTAGGATGTATTGGGAAAAATATTACATATATTAGTTTGGTATTATTAATTTTTTTTTGATAATATTTTTTAATATATACATAATTAATGTATACATAGCAAAATATACACACTATTCAGTGCTATTTGTATACATAGCAAAATATGATATTAACAATACCATGATTTTTAATACTTGATAACTATGTATAAAGACAAAACTATCTTTTTAAAACCTTTTCCAAATACAAAGCTAATGAATAGAGAAGACACTTTTATAAACAAATATATTTTAAATAAATTATGCAATATAATATTACTAATCTCATTATTACTAATACAATACATTAGGTATTATGCTTGTACGAAACGACCCTTAGTGCCAATAATTGGAGAACAGTGCAGCTAGCTTATCTTAAGTTTATTATTATTATTATTACTACCAACAAAAAAGAAAGTTAAAAATAAAAAGAAAGAGATAGTAAAATAATATATCTGCGTGTGTATTCTGGAAGGCCAAAGAAGAAGTAGCTGAAAAAGCAAAAATAAATAAAGAAGAAAAGTAGCTCACTTCACGAGCTCCTCTGTTCTTTCTCTATAAACACACACACACAAAGAAGTGGAATTAGCACGTCTGCTAAATCAAAACGCTAAATAGAAGTGGAATCTGATCATTTACTTCGCTGTAGTAAGTACAGATTTCACGGGATTTGAGCTCATCCCTCATCACTTGTTGTTGTTGTTGTTGTTGCCGTCCCTGTCTTTCTTCAACTACCAACTATACTCAATCTTGTGATTCATCTTCCTCCACGTAGGTACATTCCAGTTCTATAATTTTTGTTGGTGGGTTCTTTTTCTTTTGATTTAAGATTAGGGTTTTATTTTCTTTGGTGATTGTGGGGTTTTAGTTAATAAAATGTCAGAAGTAGCTTAGCTTGTTGAAGTTAAAAAGGAGAGCTTTATGGATCGGGTGGCAATGGCAGTAGGAGCAGGGATGGACGTGCCGATCATGCACGATAGTGATAGATACGAGCTAGTAAAGGATATTGGTTCTGGGAATTTTGGAGTGGCAAGGCTTATGAGGGACAGGCAAACTAATGAGCTTGTTGCTGTTAAGTATATCGAGAGAGGTGAGAAGGTTAGTCTTTCACTTCCATTTTTTTTTAAACTTGAAATTTCATTTTTATGTATTTTAAAAATTCTGGTTTTGGCGCTAAAAGAATTGCTAAAATTTGTGATTTACTAGTAGTAATAGGTTTTGTAATTTGCTTTATGCTACTTTCAAGTTAAATTATTTCATGGGTGTTTCCTTGTCCTGCCTATGGGGGGGGGGGGGGGGGATTGCATTATGTATTGCTTGTTTAAATTTTTTAGTTTTTGCATCCTTTTGAAGTGGGTTGCATCAAGTATAGCGTGGAATATTATATGAGATTCATATAGCTGGTGCTAACTAGTTTTAGATTGTGGTGTAGTTTATTGATTGATGTTTAGCTTTTGCATCCAGATTTGTGAATTTAAATGAAGTTAGATAACGGGTGTCTTTGAGATGTAGAGATATTTACCTTTTCCCGTTGTAGGTTTAAAGAAGGTCAAACTCTCAGTTTATTCATTTTTCACGCAAAATCTTGTGATTGTGTTTCACTTGACTTAAACATTATCAATTACTAGGAAGAGATAACCAATGGAAAAAGAGGCTAATCGACTTTACACTTTCTTGGCTTTTCTTTTTTGGATTTTTGGGGACTCAATATATCTGTATTTGTTTTTCTGCCATTTACCTTTACTTGTTCATCTGGTCATTTATTGATGTGTACCATCTACGCCTTGCAGATTGATGAAAATGTTAAGAGAGAAATCATCAACCATAGATCATTGAGGCACCCTAACATAGTCAGATTCAAAGAGGTAATATGCATCTAAAAACTGTCTCTCAATAATGGCTTAGGTGTTGAAATTTGAATTATTCTTACTTATAGCTAACTATGGGAAATTTTGAATTTCAGGTCATATTGACACCAACTCATTTGGCTATAGTGATGGAATACGCATCTGGAGGAGAACTGTTTGAGCGCATATGCAATGCAGGCCGTTTCAGCGAGGATGAGGTATTTATTTTAAAAGATTATTGTGGTTTTCATTTTATCCTGGATATATTTATAGGCTATTAGTTGTAAATTTCAGGCACGGTTTTTCTTCCAACAACTCATATCAGGGGTCAGCTTCTGTCACGCCATGGTACATCGCCATTCTCTGCCTTCAATGTGCATTGACGATCTAGAATTAGTTATTTAAAAGAAAAAGTGAATTGACGATCTATTGAGTTTATGAAAATTTTTATGATTTGTTTGCAATTGGTTGTTTATGAAGCAAGTATGCCACAGAGACTTGAAACTGGAGAATACATTATTGGATGGCAGCCCTGCACCAAGGCTAAAGATTTGTGATTTTGGATATTCTAAGGTATCCATTGTTTTTCTCTAATATTCTCTTAGACAATTGTGCCACAAGGCGACCTCCCCCTTCTGAAAGAAAAAAGAAGCACAACTTTTTGAGTATTTCAATAAAACCAGTCCAAATAGGCGAAAAGTGTAGTGAGGATTCATACTACGCACCAAACGAGCTTGGCATTTTGGTATAGGTTTTTTTTTTTTCCTTGACTGACTAGGTGGGATTGAGGCGTAGGTGTTGTTGTTTTATATGTGCTGCTATACCTCAATCCCATGAAGTATTTGCTACTTTTCTTCTCTCCCTGGCGTCTCTTCTATTCTTATGTCCTTCAAGTCTTATTGACCATCATTTTGACTGTCGTTGTTTGCAGTCCTCGGTGTTGCATTCACAACCAAAGTCAACTGTTGGTACACCTGCATATATTGCTCCTGAAGTGTTATTGAAGAAAGAATATGATGGGAAGGTAAATCTTTTTCCATTTAATTTTTCAGAGCCGATGGTTGCTTGTGTTACAGTTTGGTCAAGTGGTGTGGTTGGCAGATGAAGCGCTGCTAAGCTCGTCTTCCTGAAAGCAATTTTTTAATTGTATATTTTGCCTACTCTCCTTGATGAAGATCATAAATAGGTTTTATGTCTGATCACTGCTATGGAAGATTTGATAAATTAGGAATGACAATGGGTGGTGACCAATCCTCGTCCTCATCCCCTGCATTGATGTCTATAACCAGTGCTCCAATTTCAATTCTGGTTCCCTTTTTCTCTATGTTGAGTTTGGAAGACATTAACCGTATGTGCCATCAGGAGAGTGTGGCACAACAATGGCCTCAAAGCTGGATTGTTTTAATGATTTTCTGCCCCTGCAACAATTGTGAGACCTTACTGGCAGATATTTTTGGTGGAAAAACAACTTTGTGTATAAATTTATTAGTAACTTGCAGTTGAAAAACTAATCTGAAAACCCTATTTTGTTTCTAATGCATACAATGTCAAAAATAATAGGCTCGAGTTGTTCTATGCAGAATTAAAATAGCTTTTAGACAAGGCTGTTGTGTTGACAAAGAACCCTGATTGAAAATTTTGAGATGTGGATCGTCAGTGTGTTACAATGCTCAGAAGTTGGTTTAGGAAACTTGGTGGTGTGTGAGGACTTTTCAACTTATGCAGGACTTTCTATCTTAATCCATTAGAAAGGCCGTAAAACTCTATTCCGTAACATTTGTCAAATGTCAAATGCATCGTCAACAATTGGAATAAACCCACTTCTACTTTTAGTCCTACATCACGTACGTTTAAACTAGTGGAAAGTGTAACCATTTTTAAATTCATCCTGTCTCATTTAAGGAAAAGAAATGAAAATAAAATTATGTAGCAGCTTAGAACTGTATTTTAAATGCTTATTAGATGTGCTTACTTTTCACTGCTCAAATATTTTTGACTTTAGGAATGCATTTTGCAATACAAGTGTTCTTGATACCGTTTGGCATCAAACGAGATTTAAGTAGTCATTGCAGAATTAGATTTTTTGCAAATGTAAAAAAGACTCCACTTTGCAGTGAATGCATTAAGTTCCAGAAGTCCTTGTAATAAGCGGAAAATAGCTGGTTTGTTGTTAAAGTTCAGGTCAACCAATTATAACCTTATTTAATTACATCAGCCTTATAACCTTATTTGATGTTCCTCTTTCACCGGAGAAGTATGGGTTATTCTTTCAAAATATACCTTCACCATGTTGTATCAAGTATATTGTTTATTTTCATTTCTAAACAGTGCCTTGGCCATTTTACTTGTATTAATAACAGCTTAACAATGTTTTCTTAAAATATTTTCCCAAGCATTATTTGAAGGTACCAGAAAAATTTCCATCTTGTTATGGTTTTGTTACTGATGTTCTTTAGATGTTTTCTTCATTATCTCAATACATTGCAGATTGCAGATGTCTGGTCTTGTGGGGTGACTTTGTATGTCATGCTGGTAGGAGCATACCCTTTTGAAGACCCAGAGGAGCCTAAAATTTTTCGCAAGACAATACAGGTAACTTCTTATGCTCTATTGTTACTGCAAAATCCTCTTTGTTTGTCTTATTGACTCATAGCATTTTCTGTTTCACAGCGAATCTTGAATGTACAGTATTCAATTCCAGATTATGTACATATCTCTCCAGAATGTCGTCATCTAATATCAAGGATTTTTGTTGCTGATCCTGCAAAGGTAATCTTATCCACAAATAATTTGAAATCAGTATCCAGATTTTCTTCCCTCTTCTGTCTCAAAATATAATTTCAAGGTTCTTCTAGTAATTGTGACTCTGGTGTTGTAACACTTCTGTGCATTACTCATCATTGTTTGCACTTTAATGCTCTCTCTATCGGGAAAATCGTGTACTCAGGTCCCTGTGTATCAGTACTCTTCATATTGCTAAATTGTCTTTCCTTTTGCCCAACCCCTTTATTTTATTCTTATGTGAAGGTCCGTTCTTTTGTTTGTTGAGTTGCCTGGTGAAGGAAATAGTACGCTTGTGATGTTTTGATATTTAGTATTTTTAATCTTCCTTTCCAATTAGTATATATTTAGTTTTGATTTTGTGATGCTACTGTTTTGCATTGCAACAGAGGATAACGATCCCTGAGATCAAGAACCATGAGTGGTTCTTGAGGAACCTTCCTGCAGATCTCATGGATGATAATATGACAAACAATCAGTTTGAGGAGCCAGATCAACGTATGCAGAGCATTGACGAAATCATGCAGATAATAACTGAGGCCACCATTCCTGCTGCTGGGACCAACAGCCTTAATCATTACCTTACTGGTATCTTGGACATTGATGATGACATGGAAGAAGACATGGAGAGTGACCCTGACCTTGATATTGATAGCAGCGGAGAGATTGTCTATGCAATGTAAATGATATGTGCGTACTAAGTTGATGGATCAAACTAAACCAGCCGAATGTTTGTAGTTCTTAATTATCTGGTCTGCCTTTTGGTATCCACTGGTTGTTTATGAAATGCAGTTCACAGCAATTCAGGCTTTCCTCTCTTTGTTATCTCCGAATGGCTGTATTGCTGTTGTTCTATTGCTTGATTTCCCTTTTAAATCTGTGTACTTGTAAATTGCCATGTAACATTGCTATTATTTCATAGTAATGTTTACTCTGTAGCTGTATGGTTGTGTTACTTCTTACTAAGGTAGTAGTTTTAGTGGTATCATCCGAATTTTGCATGCAGGTGGCACTCTTCTGCTAAATGTTTTTTTTTTGCATTATTAGGTATGGTTCATTGCTCTTAAATTAAAGCTAACTCTTGTCCTGAAATTGAGCAGATTCTTCCATCTAGAGTGCATAGCAGGGGAAAGTAGGGGAAGAGAGCAGGATTGATAAGTTTGCCTTTTTCAGATAGGCAAGGTTATATTAAAGTGTTGTTTAGAAGTTTTACATTGGCATGTGATTGAGGGAATGTAAATTGAATCGATCACTCTCGATCTTATCCATATTTCCTGGCCTCTATGCCACACTCCCTCCCTTCCTTTGAGCTTGAACAGGTCGGGGGTGCACCTCCCCTGCATCACATATCTTTGAATTGTAACCTCCAAATAGAGATTAATTATGTGTAAAGTGTTTAAAGTGAAGAAAAAATAATTTGAATAAAACAAAATTATAGGTAAACTGTATAAGGTGAAGAAAGAAATAAAGCCAATTAATCAATTTTGTGAAAAGGAAAAGAAAGAGTAAAGTGGAAAAGATCAATCTAAAGGCAAATTTGAAATTATTTTGGTAAAAGTTACCGGCATATTGAGATAAGAAGAAAAGGACATCTATAGTTTAAAGTTAAATATGCGAGTTTGTTCTTCAAGATAAAATGGAAGACAGAAGATCATTGATTTTCTCCTCTTCTTTCCTCTTTTGGATCCCTTCTAGAAAACCGTAAAAGATAGGAATACGGTTTTTCTTCAAATTTCTTTCCTTTTTAAACTCGGGACTACAAATTTCTTTTCTCTTTAAATTTCTTTTCTATGTTAAAAAGATAATTCCACAAGTGCTCTCTAGTTTATTTTAACTATACAATAAGTGTGAGTTCTTTCGTCGTCCATAATGACATTTCCGCAAATAAAATGAAAATGAAGGTAAACAATGATTCATTCTTCGACATTTTTTTTTCTCTCCACACGTGTCCATTGTGCAGACCCTATGTCTTCTTCTTATTTTATGTGTCATATTTTCACTTTTACTCTCTCTCTCTCTCTCTCTGCTTCTTCTTTCACATTCTTTCTACGATGGTGAGGGCCTTTTCTTCTGCCTATGTCCTTTTATTCAATGTTTTCTTTTTAGTTTTATTTTCTTTTGGTTTGTTTTTGGGTGTTATCAGTGGCTTTTTAGTTTCTTGCTGCAGAGAAACAGGGAAATGGATATTTTTTTGTAAGCACCTTGCTATATTTGCAGATTCAGCTATTTGGGCAGAGGGACAATTAGACCCGTATCTTGGCTTGGAAAACCTTGGATGCTATGTGAGTTGAGGCTTCTTTATCACATGCAACTGTTCTTTTGCAGTCATGGCTGGTATCCTTCTAGACTAAGCCTTAATATTGCAATTGGTCCTGTAGAAATTGTTTGGCGGAATCCCATTTCCATTTCTTTTGAATTCAGCTCATAGAAGTGTCAATGGAAAATAGGAATTACTTATTTATTCAGATTTATTGGTAAACCCATTGCTAGAATAAATTAACAGTGCTTGGCTCTTTCTATTTCTTTGGCTTCGATACGTTATTATTGTTGATTTCTTATTACGTGATTATAATATTTTCCTAATTTCTTAATCTTCCTTCTCTATGACAGTTTTGCAACCAGATTGGTCTTTAAATTTGGTTCTGCCTTTACGCTTTTCCACTATTTTGTATCTCCATTATCGGATATTTGTGATTTATTTATTTGAATATATTGGTCTGAATTTTTTGATAGCACAGATTTTTAGCTGGTGAAAATTGCTCGAGGTGGGGGGAAAAAGTGAGGCTGCTTCGACCGTAAAAGGTAATTTCTACACTTTTTTTGCTTTGATGTTATATGTTTAGTTAAATAATGTTAAATGGTTGTATGTTATATGTCATGCATATTGTATAGATGTGTGTTCTTTAGGAATAAATTGAATGTTAAGAATACAAAACTTAGACTTTAATGTAGAAATTTTATGAAATGCTTGAAAAAATGATGCCTAACAACAAAAAGAAAGATAGACAAAGCACAATCTGAACTGGCGTGGGAATTTCCATAATGCTGTGCCAAAAATAGTCCAAAATGATTTATATATTGGACAAGTTACTCCCACAATCACAAGCTAGAATAAAAAAGAAGCATGCTCAATCTGAAGAGGCATATCTCAAGAGATATTGAATCCTTTGAAGGATCCCCGACCTAAAAGATCCTGCAGCTATATCTTGGCCAGCAACAACAACATCATCCTGAATAGCGTGTTCACTTTCATCATTGTCCAGAAAATCTCGGGCAAAAGGAAGTGTATTGGAAGGTTCTGCATTGTATTTTCAGAAACCACCATGGAGAAAACCTTCTTCCATTACTCGACGACTTCTAAACACCGGAGCATTAGGTGCATCCCTCTGAAGAGTTGGTATCCTCTGATAAAAACACAAAGGTTAAGAAGAAACTATCTCCCAATGCAAAGTTCATTGAGGCAATTGAATCCATAGTCTTACCTCCATGATTTTAAAAGGCTCCTCAGTGATGTCAAAGGTAAGAGTACACTCAATGGCTCTAGCAGAAACCAGAACTGCGGAATTGAGGTTGTCATCCACATACATCCTACAAAGTAAAAAGTGCATTTTCATCAAACACTTTGTTTGAGTAAGAAGAATGCAACAATTGTTGTCTCAAAGAAAGCTGATGTCGTTCCATGCATGGTAAATTTCATTATTTCCAGGAATCCTAAATTAACATGAGATATATTGAAGTAGATTATTTTCAGATTTATATTTGTAGGATAATCTACTTTTTTGTACTGTCCATTTATATTTGTTACTATTCATATATATAGTCTACATGAGTGTGTATGTGAAATCTTTGCAAATTTCTGTTGGATTGGATCCTATTTCACTTTGAGTACATAGTATAAGGTCTACTCCATACACCCTAATTCTACTCTATCACTACAGGAAAGGATAAAAAACAAATAAAAGATTATGAACCATTTTTGAAAGACTTTTGTTTGGAAGCTATGGTGAGTTTGATTTCCTTTTGTGTAAAGGGGATGGTGACTCAATTGTTTGTCATTTGATTTACATCTATTTTGCCCTTTTAAATGTTAATTACCGTATTGTTGCAGTGTTTCACGCAATATGAATAATATTTCTTGAAATGTTTTCCTCGGTATGGTGTTTTTTTACTTAAATCTCCATATGCTTTGGAATGTCTAATTAAGTAAGTCATCATGCCGATGCGTTTCAACTCTCTCTTATATACTACCTACCTTTTGATCATGGAGTAAAGATTTCATGTATTCTAACATAGGGAGCCTTTTTCCATTTTTATTGTAGATTTGATTTCATACAAGTAGCTAAAAGCTCACCCTTCTCTCAAACTCTGTTAGCTACTTCTCTAGGTCAATTTCGGGCCACCAAACCCTGCAACTGATGAGAAGGCCCTATGGAGCGTGTATGTTGACACACCTCCTGCCTTTCAAAGGTACCTAGAGGATAGGCCATACACAACAGTGCGATGACCGGGGAGCGAATTCCCTACGAGAAGGGTCAAACGACCATCTCAAGGCGCATCACGATCTACAAGTAAAAAAAGCAGTTTATTCATGATCTTCACATATCTGTGCATCTATTTGCGGTACTCTATGATTCACATGAAGTCGCTGTCTAGGCACATTATGTTTTAATCCTGAACAGAAAAAGATCTGCTGGGGAATTCGGAGCCTGACAATATTTATGTTTGTATATTCTATCTCCTGGACATACAATGGCCCATCTCTGCTAGGTTTATCACAAATGAAGTTAGTGTGAGAAGTGCAAATGGAAACTAATCTATAAAGCTATTATTTAATGTAATGCATATCCATGACTGCATCTAACTAGTTTGATGGAGGTGCTTAACAGTGGATGTGGATCAGTACAACCCTGTAACTTGGATTCAGCTTCATGCATATCCCAGAAATCTCGAACACAAAGATGGGCTTGAGAAACGTATATTGTCTAATAAATACTTTAAATCTGAACATGTATCTTTGTGTTTAGACTTTCTATTTGTGGTCATTATGCATGTTCTTTTCTATGTCCTTGAAATAAATTACATTGGATTTCTTTTGTTTTAACAGATTAGTGCTCTTAAAGGAGTGGATATAAACTTCTTGGCAGAAATCGCCATAAGATGTTGTGACCATCGTTTTTTCCTTTGACACTTTTCTGGTTTGGTGCTACCCTTGTATTTGAACATGCGGCATCTTATATGTCTCTATCGCTTCTGGTGCTGAGACGCTTTGATGCAAGATATTATTGGGGAAGGAGTTCAATAAGTCCCTTTTTTTTGGAAAATATCCTTTGCATACTTTTATGATTACACATTCTGTTTTTCCACTCTTATGACTATGTGTAGAAGATGTAGAGAGGTGGTAATGATGGAAGATAAAAATGTCATCTGTTTTTTCAAAAATAATCCTCCCTTTTCTGCTTTATGTGCCATAATTGTATAAACGTTAGTTATTGAAGGAGGACAAAATAGGAAAGTCTTAATTTGAAAGAGTTCTGTGTCTATTGTCTCTCTTTTTATGTTGTAATTGCAAGTAGTGAAACCTTATCCACAAAAAAATGCAAGGAAACTGACTGCGATAGGTCTCGATAAATCTAAAGGACCTCTCGCAAAGTTTGTTGCACCGAAAAGTGTGAACCTAAGAGATTTAGGAGCTAAATTTTACTTGCTCACCATCCAGTTTTTATATCTGATGGACTTTAAGGTTATGGATATTATTATTGGAAAAAAGGCTAGCCATATGGTGAAACATTGAACAGGTACGAGAAATGTCATTCATACGAGAAATGTCATTCAGATATAACAATTAGGTTGACTGTGCTATTATCTATCAAGTTAATACATTGTCATTCCTGCTTATTCCAAATTTCATATCTATTGGTACATTTGAACTTGAAGTTTTGAATTTCTTTTCAGTTTCACTTCATTACAAAGCTCCTACAAATATTCGATGTTGTACTCTCAAATAAAGTTGGTCATTCTATTCTATCAAATACCCGTGATGAAGTGAATTGCTACTTTACATGAGGACTCATTGGAGAATGGATCATCTGGAAATTCTTTGTGATCTTAATGTGAATGAGCTCTTGAATTATAAGAATGTAAAACTGCATTTTTTTTATGTAATTGAGTTAGTGATAATTTGATCACTAAACAAGCTTATTGTTATTCTTAAAGTTCACTTAAATACCTTAGTTTGCACTTATATTGTTGGTCTTACCTACAAAATTATGAAGTTAAAGGTAGTTTAAAGTAGTTGGTTTAATTGTGAAAGGAATAGTGACATTGGGCGCTCGTGCAGAGCACGGTCACTCCCATCTACTCTCCCATCTAGTATTTAACTATATAATAAGAGCTTTTTGGACGACCAGGGGTTTCACACTGGTCCAGCTGTTGTGCATATTTCTTGCTAACACCTTACGTGTCTTTCAGCTGGTAGTGCATATTTCAGGTGCATCTCCTTTTGTAAAATTTCATTTCTCTCCCTTTGCATGCCGTTCTTCTATTATTCTTATCTCTACTTTCTGTGCTTCTCTTCCATTTCTGCTCATGTTTTATTTTCCAATCTTCTGAAGTTGTTTCTGTGCATTCGGCTGTCCTACTTTTGTTGTTTATTGTTTTCTTCAGTTTCCTCTCCTTTTTCGTGGCTTTCAATTACTCTTTCCCCTCTCATCTTCGCTTCACTTTCTTTTGCATATCCCTTATTTATCTTGTTTTTTATTTTTTCTTTGTTTGTTCTACTATGGGTATCGACTTGGATTGTGTTTTGATTTGTTTAATTTTACTTTTTTAAGTCATAATTTGTTGTATACAATATTGGTCTGCACTAAAATTGTATGTATATATTTTGGTGATAATGCTCAGAGAAAGATCAAATACATGTCAAGATTCACTCATTTGATCATAGAACGGGAAGCAGCAACCTGTACGACAATGCCGATCATGAACATATTCGGCATGTTCCTCTGTTTTGTGAGTTTTCCCCTTTCTGCTATGTTATGTATTGATGTGCTACTATGCCCATCTACTGTATTAGTCTTTGAAACTATATTTTGAATCCACTTAGAATAGAAAATTGTGGAAATTTTTCGAGTGTTTAATTTCTTTTGACATGTTCTATATGTGTTTGACACTTTGCTCTGAAGAAGGATTAGAAAATTATGGACTTTATTGATGGAGAGTGCAGGTAATGGGCATGACTTAGTTGATTTAAAGATTTTCTTAATAGCAATATCAAATTTCTCACAAGAGAATGTTGTGTAGCTTATGGACTATATATTTACTACGAATAAAATATAGTTATCCCAAAATAGTAGGTTATGGATAGTATAATGTTATCCACATATGTCATGGAGCTTAACTATCGAGCAATTTTTCTTTTTCATTTTTGCATTGATGGCATTCTCCAAAGTTCTTCAAATAAAAACATATATCTTGAAAGTAGATTGTTTTTTCCCGTTGTTTGTTGTATTAAGTCTACTAATGTTTCTTAATTAGTTTCAGTAGTTTAGAAATTTAACTCTCAATCTTCTTATCATCTAGGATGTCGGTCTTGATATATATTGTTTCTGGATGTAGAAAGTAGAAATTCAGTTTTGATTTAGATAGGTAATGTTTATTCCACTTACAAAATACATTTATGAAGATCTCTGTAGGTTTGAGTATTAGCACTTTAACATTTGTTCCTGTCACGACCCAAAATCTCACATGTCGTGATGACGCCTATCTCAATACTAGGCAAGCCAACAATCTCAATAAATCACAATATCTTTTAAGTTTGAAAACATAACATTTGATTCCAATAGAAAAACTCACAATTTCAGATACAAAACTCCCAAAACTCGGTGTCACTGAATACATGAGCATCTAAATGAATACAATGTCTGACTGATAAAACACTGTTTGAAAGTATAGAACAATACAATAACTGAAAGAGAGAGAGTCAAGGTCAGCGGACGCCAGACAGCTACCTTGATAGTTTCCAACTGATAACACTCTGAGATCTAACAGTTGCCATGTCCGAAAGCACCTGGATCTGCACACGAGGTGCATAGTGTAATATGAGTACAACCAACTCAATAAGTAACAAGACTAACCTCTAGACTGAAAGTAGTGACAAGCTCCGCAGGTATAGTCCAGTATATAAATAACGATACAAAAATGTAGGCATGCTTTCAAGTTCAACAGTAAAACTCAGTACACGTAAAATAGATCGATACTGCGTGATATGCGGAATATGACATCTCAGTGGAAAAAATCTCATGTACTATTGGTCACTAATCATTCGGTCACTCGCTACTAGTTATGGCCAATCCAGCCCAGGGATATTCCATCCCGTATATATATACACATCGACTGACAGTCAGTCACTCAGAACTGCATAAGGCCAATCCAGCCCTAGGGAAATTTATCCCCAAATGTAAATGATTTGGACAAGATCCATGTCCAGGAAAATTCATCACAATATAAATAAGGCAAGTCCATGCCCTGGGAAGTCCATCCCAAATATATATATATATATATATAATTAAATTCAACAACAACACGACCTGTGGGCCCCATAATATCGGCACGTAGCCTAATCATGATCTTTGATACGAGTCTCAGCTCAATTTCCTAACATGTGGAGAAATATGCGAATAATAACATGATTCCTTAATTTTACAACTTCACAGAATTTATTCAAGTCACAATTTCTATGGTGTACGTCCACACGCTCGTCACCTATCATGTGCTTCACTTCCAAACAATTTATATAACACCAAATTCGAGGATTCATACCCTCAGAACCAAGTTTAGAAGTGTTACTTACCTCAAGTCGTGTAATTCTTTACTCTGCTATGCCTTTGCCTCACGAATCGGCCTCCAAACACCTCAAATCTAGTCATAAATAATTCGATTCAATCAATACAAATTATAGAAATTAATTCCATATGAAAATATAAATTTTTCGTCAAAATTCAAAATTTCACCCAAATATCGCACATGGGGCCCGCATCTCGGAACCGACAAAAGTTATAAAATCCGTAAGTCCATTCAACCACGAGTCTAACCATACCAATTTTACCAAATTCCGACATCAATTCGACCTCCAAATCATCAAATCTTATTTTCAAATCCCTAGGTCCAAATTCCCGATTTGCACCTCAAAACACGTAATCTAGTCGGAATAATCGACGATAGTTCAATATTATTGACTAAAAATGGTCACAAGTGACTTACCTCAAGAATTCCCGTGAAAACCTCGCTCAAAATCGCCCAGCCCGAGCTTGAAATGCCCAAAAATGGAAAAAGCTCGGAACCCCTCTGTTTTTGTACTGTCCAGGGGTTTTCGCTTTTGCGGAATTTTTTAACTGCATCTGCGGTCTCGCAGATGCGAGAATTCCTTCGCTTATGCTGCTTCATCACTTCTGCGGACAGGAAGTTCGCTTCTGCGGAGTCGCATTTGCGACGTTTTCTTCGCTTCTACGAAGCCATCTCCCCTTCCCCTTTCCGCTTCTGCGTGCATAGCTTCGCACCTGCGACAAAATTTTTGACTCGAAGGTGATCAACCTTCAAGGCCAAGATTGTTCAACTTGTGTGGTTTACATTTACTTTTCTTATCATTAATTTCAATTTTAATGTGATTTCTCATTTTATATCAAGTTATATTGCGTATCCTTAAAACCGCGTATAAATTTAATTGTTATCCAATTTTGAGGGTAAACAGTTTGGCACCCACTGTAGGGCTAAGGATAATTGTGGTTAATTGATACAAATCTCCATAACACATATTGCTTTACACTTTCTCTTTGAAGTGTCTTTGATTCTAGGCTAAAATACAAAAATGTCAAACTCTCAATCAACACCGCTGCATATTGACAACGAGTCCGGTCACCAAGGTGAAAATAACAACATAGCGCCCGGTAACGAGATACCACTTGCTGATCCCGCTGGAATTCCAATCGCAAATCCGATTGACGCTAATTCGCATGTGGCTATCGATGCAAACTTGCCTACCGACCCTGAAAATAACGTTCGTGGTGGAGCCCGATCGGCAAATCGAAACACGCAAAACGTTGAAGGAGACGAGATCAGTCTACGAGTGATCTTGGAAATGTTGCAGGCTCAACTGGCGGCGATAGCCCAGTTACACAACCAAAGCCGTGCACCAAGCAGGATTGATGCCTCCTCCCAGGGAAGTCACCCGCAGGGATGAACTCGTCGTAGAAAGGTCGAACGAGCACGAATCGGGGACTAACCCCGAGATCATAAAGATGCTTGAGGAGCTGACAAAACGGATAGAATCAGGGGAGAAAAAGATCGAGGCTAACGACAAAAAGGTGGAAACCTACAATTCCAGGGTAGAGCAAATCCCAAGAGCACCTCCGATATTGAAAAGCCTCGATTCCAAGAAGTTCGTGCAAAAACCTTTCCCTCCGAGCGCGGCTCCGAAGTCAATCCCCAAGAAGTTCCATATGCCCGAAATACCCAAGTACAATGGAATGACCGACCCTAACTAGCATGTAACCTCTTATACATGTACTATCAAAGGGAACAACCTGGAGGACGATGAGATCGAGGCTGTTTTGTTGAAAATATTTGGGGAAACCCTGTCAAAGGGAGTTATGATATGGTATCACAACTTACCTCCTAATTCTATTGACTCATTTGCTATGTTTGCAGATTCTTTCGTAAAAGCACATGCAGGTGCCATCAAGGTCGAGACTAGGAAATCAGACCTTTTCAAAGTCACACAGAAGGATAACGAGATGCTCAGGGAGTTCGTGTCCCGGTTTCAAATGGAACGAATGGATCTGCCACCGGTCGCTAATGATTGGGCTGTTCAAGCTTTCACTCAAGGACTTAATATTCAAAGCTCGGGCAGCTGAAGCAGAACTTAATAGTATACTCGGCTGTTACATGGGTCGATGTGCATAACCGGTATCAGTCAAAAATCAGAGTCTAAGATGATCAACTTGGGGCCCCTTCGGGGTTTGTCTATCCAGTCAGAACCTTCGACAGAGTCAAGAGAGAGATCGGTCGTGAACCAAGGCCAAATAGGGATCGGTATCAGCCATATAATAGAGATCGGAGAAGCAACGGGTCCAGGCGAAACTCCATGAGAAACGAAAAGATAAATGACCGAGGTCAAAGCAACCGGGGACTTATGACCAAAAATGGCTTCGACAGGTCCACCGGGTCTAAAGACGCACCAAGGCTATTGGAATACAACTTTAGTGTCGATGCTACCGCTATTGTATCAGCTATCAGGCGCATCAAGGATACCATATGGCCTCGACCTCTACAGTCCGATCCAACCCAAAGGGATCCTAACCAGATGTGCAAATATCATGGCACTCACGGTCACAGAACGGAAGATTGTCGACAACTGAGAGAGGAAATAGCTCGTCTATTCAACAATGGGCACTTTGAGAATTTTTGAGCGAGCGAGCCAAGAATCATTTCAGGAACAAGGATTCTAACAAACAGGCAGAACAAGAAGAACCTCAACACGTCATCAACATGATCATCGGCAGGGTTGATATCCCACAAGGCCCGATGTTGAAACGCACCAAAGTATCCATCACTAGGAAAAAGCGAACTCGAGACTACATACCGGAAGAAACTTTATCTTTCAACGACAAGGATGCAAAAGGGATCGTTCAGCCCCACAATGATGCACTGGTAATATCTGTACTCGTAAATAAAATTCGGGTTAAACGTGTGTTAATTGATCCAGGTAGCTCGGCCAACATCATTCGATCAAGGGTCGTGGAGCAGCTCGGTCTACAAGACAAAATCTTGCCTGCAGTTCGAGTTCTAAACGGATTCAACATGGCGTGTGAGACCACTAAAAGCGAAATAACGTTACCAGTGAACACCGCCGAGACCATCCATGAGACCAAATTTTATGTGATCGAAGGGGACATGAGGTACAACGCTCTATTCGGAAGGCCATGGATCCATAACATGAGGGTCGTGCCTTCAACACTGCACCAAGCATTGAAATTCCCAACACCTGACAGAGTTAAAACAGTCTACGGGGAACAACCGGATGCAAAGGAAATGTTTGCGGTCAAAGAGGTGATACCGGCATCTGCAGTTTCAACATCGAAGGGCCCAAACCAGATGGTCAAAAACGAGGTCAAATAGCAATCACTGATACCATCTTCGGCAGATTTGGACAAACAAGAGGAAGTCGAGGATGATGATTATGGGGTTCCCAGATCTTTTATAGCCCCCGATAATTCCGACGTCACTAAATCGACTGTTGAAGAACTGGAACAAGTCATATTGAGAGAAAACTTGCCCGATAGAAAGGTATACCTGGGCACGGGGCTAAGCTCTGAGCTTAGGGAAAACTCATTCACTTTCTTATAACTAACGAAGATTGTTTCGCTTGGTCCCACCTCGATATGACAGGTATCCCACCGGAGATAGCCACTCACAAGCTGAGCCTGAACCCGAAGTTCCGTCCGGTTAAACAGAAGAGGAGACCCCAGTCTGAGATCAAGCATGCTCTCATCAAGGATGAGATATCTAAACTTCTTAAAATAGGGTCTATTCGGGAGGTCAAATACCCGGATTGGTTAGCAAACGTAGTGGTGGTCCCTAAAAAAGAGAATAAACTAAGAATGTGTGTAGACTACAAAGATTTGAATAAAGCATGCCCCAAAGACTCTTTTCCTTTGCCCAACATAGACCGTATGATCGATGCCACGGCCGGCCACGAGACCTTCAGTTTTCTCGACGCCTATTCCGGGTACAACCAAATACGGATGGACCCGGGTGATCAGGAAAAAACTTCCTTCATCACTAAATACGGCACATACTGTTATAAGATGCCGTTTGGATTAAAACATGTTGGTGCCACATACCGACGCTTAGTAAATCCGATGTTCGAGGAACAAATAGGAAAATTAATGGAGGTTTACATTGACGACATGTTAGTTAAGTCCCTGCGAGCAGATGACCATTTAAAACATTTGCAGAAATTTTTTAGCATACTGAAGTAGTACAACATGAAGCTAAACCTAGAAAAATGTGCGTTTGGAGTTGGGTCGGGTAAGTTCCTTGGATTCATGGTATCCAATCGGGGAATCGAGGTCAACCCCGATAAGATCAAAGCCATCGAAGATATCACGATCGTGGACACGTAAAGGCCGTGCAAAGGTTAACCGGGCGAATAGCCGCCCTGGGGCGATTTATCTCGAGGTCGTCCGACAAGAGCCACCGATTCTTCGCACTGTTGAAAAAGAAGAACAACTTCTCATAGACCTCGGAATGCCAACGAGCGTTAGAGGAACTCAAGAGGTATTTTATTGAGCCCGCCCTTGCTTCACACACCGAAGACAGACGAACAACTGTACTTGTACTTGGCGGTCTCGGAGATAGCGGTAAGTGGAGTCCTAGTTCAGGAGGAGCAAGGTACGCAATTTCCAATTTACTATGTTAGTAGGACCTTTGGTGAGGCCGAAACTAGGTACCCTCACCTGAAAAAACTGGCGCTCGCTTTGCTAAGCGCCTCTAGGAAGCTAAAGCTGTACTTCCAATGTCACCCCATATGTGTCGTGACTACTTACCCGTTGAGGAACGTTATGCATAAGCCCGAACTCTCGGGCCGATTGGCCACATGGGCCGTCGAAATAAGTGGGTACGATATTGAGTATCGACCTCGAACCGCCATTAAGTCCCAAATTTTGGCAGAATTTGTGGCCGATTTTACACCGACCCTGATACCCGAGGTCGAAAGAGAGTTATTGGTTAACTCAGGAACTTCTCGAGAATCTGGACCCTCTTCACGGACGAAGCATCAAATGCAAAAGGGTCCGGACTTGGCGTCGTCCTAAAGCCACCAACACGTAATATAATTAGACAATCTATTAAGAGTGTGAAATTGACTAACAACGAGGCCGAATATGGGGCCATGATTGCAGGCCTTGAACTAGACAAGAGCATGAGGGCAGAGGCGATCAAAGCCAAGTGCGACTCCCTCCTCGTGGTAAACCAAGTCAATGGAACGTTCGAGGTCAGAGAAGAACGGATGCAAAGATACTTGGACAACTTACAGGTGACATTACATCGGTTTAAAGAGTGGACTTTGCAACACGTACCTCAGGATCAAAACAGCGAGGCTGATGCCCTTGCTAACTTGGGGTCGTCAGTCGAAGACGACGAGTTCCACTCGGGAGAAGTCGTACAACTTATGAGATCGGTGGTGGAAGAAGGCCACGCCGAGATCAACTCGACGAGCCTAACTTGAGACTAGAGAAATAAATACGTGGAATATCTCAGGTCCGATAAACTGCCCTCTGATCCAAAAGAGTCGAGGGCCCTGCGTACAAAAGCTACCCGATTTAGCCTGTCTGAAGACGGTACCTTGTTCAGAAGAACATTTGATGGCCCACTTGCAATATGTCTAGGGCCAGGGGATACCGAGTATGTTTTGAGGGAAATGCACGAAGGTACCTGTGGAAATCATTCGGGCGCCGAATCGCTGGTTCGAAAAATAATCAGAGCCGGTTATTACCGGATCGACATGGAAAAGGATGCAAAGGAGTTCGTTTGAAAATGTGATGAATGCCAAAGACACGCTCTGATGATCCATCAACCCGGGGAGCTGCTGCACTCAGTTTTATCACCATGGCCGTTCATGAAGTGGGGAATGGACATCGTTGGCCCCCTTCCATGGGCATCAAGTAAGTCTCAATTTATATTGTTTATGACTGACTACTTTTTTAAGTGGGTGGAAGCCCAGACATACGAGAAGGTCAGTGAGAAGGTCGTCATCGATTTCATTTGGGACCACATTATATGCCGATTCGGAATGCCGGCCGAGATTGTATGCGATAATGGGAAACAATTCATCGGAAGCAAAGTAACCAAGTTACTTGAAGACCACAAGATCAAAAGGATCCTATCGACACCATATCACCCTAGTGGGAATGGAAAGAAATATTACCCGAAGTCTTGTGGGCATACCGTACAACCTCGAAGTCCAGTACCAGGGCTACCCTGTTTTCTTTGGTTTATAGCGCCGAAGCTTTGATACCGGTAGAGGTCGGGGAACCAAGTATCAGATTCCGATATGCAACAAAGGAATCGAACGACGAAGCTATGAGTATGAACATAGAGCTATTAGATGAAAGGCGCAAAGCCGCCCTTGTCAGGTTGGCCGCCAAAAAACAGCGGATCGAAAGATATTATAAACGAAGGGCTAGCCTTAGACACTTCAATACCGGGGACTTGGTACTAAGAAAGGTGCTAAGCACCCGGAACCCGAACGAAGGAAAATTGGGGCCGAATTGGGAAGGACCGTACCATATTATCTAGATCACCGGAAAAGGATCTTACAAGCTCGGAACAATGAACGGTGAGAAACTACCGAACAACTGGAATATAACTCACTTAAAGCGATATTACTGCTAAGGTACGACCCCGTTCTTTCTTTTATTTACATCTTAAACTAACGCTTGTAGGTAACTAACAAGGGACGGTACAAGATTTTAGGTAGATTTTTCGGCAAGGTTTTTAACGAGGCAACAAGTAAATCGTGCTAACTTAGAATCGCGGGCCGGCAACGAACCGATGACGGTGATCGGAACAGTATTCGAGGTCTCTCTTCGATCAACCCCGAACACTGGGGGGCATTACCCTCCGATATCAACTTTAGCATGGAAAGAGACTTCAGGATTGAAGGGTCTCGATCGATAGGATTCAATGTAAGGGCCAAACGGTCAAATGAACCGTGCCCACATAGAATGCTCGAACCCTGACACAAAGCATGCGCACATACATTACTATTATGCACAAGAATAAAGAGAAGTCTCTTACTTGCAAACAACTTGTCTTTTAAAATTTTTTCCTTTACATTTCTTAAGGAATTCCCCGCTTATGATCCCATAAAGGAAACGAGTCCAAGGGCCACCTTAACCGGAGTTCGAATAATCACTCTCTCACTCGGGGACTGTCGTCTGAAAACAAACTCGTACGGTCCAAGCTATTTGACATCAGGAGTATAAGACCTATTAGGCAACCCCCGAATTTTATAGGCTAAGGCCACCCCCACTCGGGGACTGCCATCTTAGGCAAACCCGGATATCTCGCAATAATGATACTAACACGGGACAACACCCGAACTATAAAGGCTACGACCATATAAACACGACTTGGAGATGTCCGAGATCAGTAACAAAAACAACAAGGCCTTAAAATTTCTTAACCGGTTCCAAAGGTTACCCTCGACAGACTATGACTTAAAGAAGTCTAAGTACTTTGGGGAAAGAAAACTTTTGGTCACACCGAACCCCCACGATGCCTAAAACGAAATAGATGAAGGTAAGGTTTCTTCGAGTCTCTAAATTGTTTTATGTCAAGGCACTTAGATCTTTGCAAATAAAAATAAACAAGGCAAAGAGAAAACTTGAAAACTGTTGAAGGGAAAAAGCCTTATATTCATAATCAAAAATTTCTTTTACAAGGATCGAACTGCTCGATGAAATTTTTTACAAGGGCCAAAAACGGCCTCAACAAAAATACAAAAAAACAAAGACATCTAAAAACGCCTAACTGGTCTAGTCTCCGCCGGGGGCCGCGTCATCACCTTCAGGGTCTCCGCCATCTTGGAGCTCATCCGAATCTTCAAACCCCTCGGAATCCTCCTCGGGATAAGCCAGCTTCCTGGCCTGGGTTTCGGATAACTTGGCTTTCTCGATCTCAGCCAGCAGGTCAAAACCCTGAGCTCGAACTCCCTCGAGGGCCTCCCTTCGGGATTGCCACTTCATATGCTCCACCGAATTTCTCACTTGGTCCTGAGCCGCCTCGACATCGGCCTTATACTGGGCCACCCGCTCATCAGCCTCGGCCTTAACCACATCAATCTCCGACTTGGCGACCTCAAGTTTTTTGGCCAGATTTTCTTGGCCGAAAACCGCCGAGCTCAGTTGTGACTGGAGCTCCTCGATCCTTTTGGCATGTACCAAGGCATTTTCTTTTGCAGCCCGGAGCTGGACCTCAATCGAAGCCAGTTGCTCTCAAGCAGTCTCCTTTTCCGAGGCCAGGCGGTCTATGGTTTTCTTCCATTCTTCGGCCTCAGCTTTCACCGTGTTCACTTCCTCCTGGAGCTGCTCGATTTGGTCAAGTTTCTTTTGAACATGTGGGTTCGAGTCGTTAGCCATTGTGTCTGAATCATCATCACTATGTTCAAATACTCACTCGTCTTACCTGCTCGACTAGGTCGGCATGCTCCTTCCGAGCCGTTTCTAATTCGGCCTGGAGCATCTCACTGAGGAGCTTGTAAGCATCCATCTTCTCAATAAGCCCCCGAGTCTTGGCCTCGTGTTGGTTTAACTCTTCCCGATATCAGAGAAAAGTTTTGTGATGAAGCACCGAGGGCTGCAAACACAAAGAAGAATGTTATGTTTATTCGCAAATTAATCTAAGTACATAATAAAAAGGCTTTCGAAGTTACCCGATTCAATGCCTGCTGAGCTTCGTTGAAAAGACAAGGGGCCTCCACCTCGTCCATTTTGGCCTGATCCTCTTCGGTCACCAGACATTGAAGATAGCTGGCAACCCCCACGAGGGTGGAAAGAACCCGGGCTTCCTCTAGTATGGATATGATGATTGACCACTTCCGGTCAGGATCTGCACTCGGAGCTGGGAACCGGTCTACCAATCTCGGACTCGAAGAAGATCCGCTGGCTCCCGAAGACGGCATCTTCTTTGGCACCGGTAAATCACCTTACCCGGTACATCCTCCGAGGCGGTAGAATCCATGCCATCGAAGAAGTTGTTGAAGGAATTTGCCGCCCCTTGAGGCCCCTCGTTTGGGCGTCCTTTCAGCATCTGGGCCTCGTTTATCATCGAGTCGGTGAATGATGGTGACCCAGAAAGATCTATCAACCTAAGCGCATCCTTCAGGGCATCTCTCTCAGCCCGAGGAGTACCGGTCGTGGTCTCCTTGTCGACCTCCCCAGCTCGGGGCAAAATGGCCTCTTCCTTCCTTGGTTCGGAGGCCTCGGCCACTGCCTCCTCATCGACTACCCTGGTTTGAGGCAGCTCGGTACCTCTTCTCACGCGGGTCATCAGCTCGGAGGCTTATTATTCTTCTTCTTCGGACTCGTCCCTCAATCGACCGATGGAACCTCCCGCGTGCTAGCACTTTCCTTAGATTTGCGCACCAGCCTCCTTTTTGGTTTTTTCTTCTTCGAGTTCGGAGAACTCGAAGCCCTTTTTCTTTTCTTCTCTTTATCCTGCTTCGAAGCAGAGGGCTCAGTGAGTATGTCATCAGACGGAGGCCTCATCTCAACATCCTTTGACAAAACCTGCAGAAGTAAAACAAGTTAGAAATCGACGGCGTAAAAATAAGGTCAAATGTAACTTAAAGAAAAATCTCACCATAAGAACGGGCCTCCCACTGACTCTTTGAAAGTTCGTGCCACGCTATCTCGGAGTAGGGATTTTGCGACACGATCCCCTCGACCCACTCCTTGAGTCGAGGCACTGCATCCAACATCCGAGCAACAACTGCACCACAAAGAATCGATAAGAAAAAGGTCAAAAGGAAAATGCCGAACAAAACATTAAAGGCAAGGTTATACTTACGCTTCATGTTCCATTTCTCAGGAAATGGCATGTCCTCGGCCGGGATTAAGTCCGAGGTTTTCACTCGAACGAATCGGCCCAACCAACCTCGGTCCTGATCCTCGTCGATGCTCGAGAATGGGGCCTTACTGGCCCGACGGGCAAGTTTTATTAGCCCCCCTCGATAGAGTCCGGGACTATACAGGCGCATACCCCTCGAGTTTGCTCACGAAGAAGCGAAGAAGAATTACAATCCTCCAAAATGAAGGATGAATCTGCGTGAGAGTCACCTCATACCTTTTGCAAAAGGCTATAATAACTGGATCTAAAGGACATAGCGTAAAAGGGTAAGTGTAAACACTTAAAAAACCCTCCACGTGGGTAGTGATCGATTCCTCGGGGGTAGGAACCACTACGAGCTTATCGGCCCAGTTGCAGTCATCCTTGACCTTCTCGAGGACACTGTCGGAAATTGAACATATGTATCTCGAGACCGGCTCGCATCGACCCGGTATCGAGGAGGTTTTCTCAACCTTGAAATCGGCTTCGGTTGGGCACCCCGTAGGGACGAACACATTTAGAGGGGGTTATGTTGTCGGTTCCTCAGTGGCAACAGGCAAAACGTTCTCATACGGTCTCGATGAAGAGGGAATTTCTTTTTGAGGTACGGATTTTAAAGTCTTTGCCATTGTCACACCTCTTTTTTCCGAGGGATATGGAGTTTTTCCAATTAAAGTGACATTTTGACAAGGTGGGTTGCTCTGATGGTAAGCACCCTCCACTTCCAATCAAGAGGTTGTGAGTTCGAGTCACTCCAAGAGCAAGGAGGGGAGTTCTTGGAGGGAAGGATGCCGAGGGTCTATTGGAAACAGCCTCTCTACCTCAGGGTATGGGTAAGGTCTGCGTACACACTACCCTCCCCAGACCCCATGGGATTATACTGGGTTGTTGTTGTTATTCGAAATGGGATTATTAATTTAATTCAGAGTCGCCACTTGGAATAATTTATGGTGTCCTAAGTCACCGGTTTATTTTAAATCCCAAATCGAGGAAATTGACTCTATTTTTGGTCCGCGAACACAGAAGATTGGGTAAGGAATTCTGTTAACCCGGAAGGTGTGAGGCACTCCCGAGTTTCGTGATTTTAGCACGGTCGCTCAACTATTGATAATTGACCTAGTTATCTGATTTAATACATGTTTAAAACCTATTGTGCATTTTTAACTTTTTAACCGCTTTAAATAGAATTTAAATTGCCTTTTAGGGCTTATGAAATTTATTTAAATAGCTTACAAACATATTACGAATCGCGTCACGTGAAACGCACTCGCGATTGGCAACATGTTTATTATTATTATTTTTTGAAGTTATAGTTGAGTCGCATGAAATGCGCAACCGAATTGGGAAATTATGTATCACGACTATGCCATGGGAGCCGTACCCATAGTCGTGATGATTTATTTACGCACCTAAATCAAACTTCGATATTTAAAGCTTAAATATTTCCTAAGGTTTAAGATTAAATGTGGAAGTCTAGAATTATGGGGAGATTATTTATGGACAGAGTCTGTTAGTAGCTAAGCTAAATACGAGCTATTGACGAGTTAACACTTCCCAGTCAAACTTCATATATGGGTTGAATACGTTTGGGACTGCTCGATTTCAAGAGGAGGTTGTCAATTAAGGATGAAAGGGAGATTTAAAAATGAAGGACAGTAGCGTTGGGCTTCACATTCTTTCAACTTGGGCCCAGAAATGGGCCAGATTTACCAACTACATCAATTACATAAAATGAATAATTATAATTAAAAGAACTCTCACCCAAATCCTGATTTCCACACTGACAGAACATAGACTACAAAACGAAAAATCAACTTTCGTACTTGCATTCAAATTGCATAAGTAGGCAAAAAGCTTAAGTTTACAATCAAAAGCCTCTTAATAATAATTCTCATAGGGTACAAATAGGTTCTAATACAATTACAATTCACTTAAGACAATACACAAACCTAAAAAAAAACAATTAACTCTGAAGTTAAGCCTGCTCATCACCTAGGGTTTCAACTTGATTTTCGCTTCGAAACACCACTGATCTACTCAATTTAGAAGTCATGTTTGCAAATCCCGGCCACATGCTCACAGTTACCAACTCGCGATTCAAGCACAGGGTATCATGATAGCATTTAAATCCAATTCATACTCAAATAAACATGAGCAGACGATTCAATGATGGCAATCATCAAATCAGCAGAGAACAACATGTAGTTTAACATTTAAGCCCAGTTCATACTCAGGTAAACACAAGCATACAAATTCAGGGATAGTAATCACTAACATAACAGAGAAGGACATATGATTTCATGAAATCATTCTTTTAAAGATGTGGTTAAATTAAACCAAATTACACAATCGAAATCAAAGGGAAATACCTTGATGTAGCAACAGACAACAGGAAATAGCAACAAGAACTAGATCTGGAACCCAGCAATGCAAGAAATCAGCAGCACTTAACAATGATCCCACAAAATGTTTAAGCAAAAAAAAAAAAAAACCAGGAATGCTGAGCTAAGGAGCAGAAAATTTTAGTATCCTGAAGAAGTTTTGGATTTTTCAGAACTCTTTTTCAGTTTTTTTTTTTGAAGTTTTCAGCTGCCTTTTGAGTGCTTAACCTGTGTGAGAATATGAGGAAGAGTCCCTTTTTTTTTAATAGAATATGCATATGCTCTATGAGAGAATGAGATAAGGCCTAGAAAAGAATTTCTCAGCCTCCTAAAATTTAGGAAAATGGCATCTTTTGCAACTGAATTGGACAGCTGTCCAAAATGATTCTTTTCCTATTTTTAACCCCCACTAACTTCTATGATTTACACTTAAACCCTCAAACTAGAAGCTTCCAGTAATTACCAAACATTCTTCTAAGTTAAAAAAACTTGAAATCCTTTCCTATTCCCTGTTAATTAACATTCAAACAACCAATCGCTTGGGCTATTTAGCCACCAAACCAGCCACGCTTAATGGGCTTTCAACCTCATCAGGCCTGTCCATCAAACATGCCCAAATTTATTTCAGCTTGATCAAACAAAACGGCGCACAGGAAAGCCAACTAATTTGTGCTCCAATTTAGTAATTCAAATAAAAGCGATTCAATTTAATTAACAAACAATTGGTTAACAATCTAGAGCAGAGAATGCAGTATTTAAACCTAACTAATTAATCAAAAGAGAAGAATTATGACCAATTCCAGAAAAAGAAATGATACGTGAAAGAGAAAAAAGAGGTGTGGGATTTGGAGATTTGACCCTTTAGTGCTCAAATGGGCTCGAGCGCTGTTGAGCTTTAGAGCGGCAGCGACTATAGGAGAGATTAGAGCATTGGCTGGTCGACGACGATGTAGTCGGATTCCGGCATCTTCGAAATAAACCGAAACTAATGTTAATCGATTGTTCTCACTGAGAACAACCGATCAACACAAGTCTCAGGTCAAATCGATTCTGAAATCACTGAAAGAAAGAACAAGAGGCGGACTATTTTTTGGCGTTTTTTTAGATCTACTATAACTGTAATTTCGGAGGGATTTGAGGGATGAGGCTAGGGGCATTAGAAAGAGAGGACGCTGAAGATCATAGGGTGAAAGTTTGAGGCCATTTGGTGTTCACCCGCCGCCGTGAGACGATTTCCGGCGGCAGCTCTGAAATAGCATGAAAGAGGTGAGGGAGATGGGGAAATGAAGTGGGTCTCTGGTGTTTGTGGGGTCAGGTTCAGACAGTTATAAGGGATTGGGATGGGGGGTTCCTGGCCGTTGGATTGAAGGAGATGGAGGGTGAGGATTGAATGTGACAGAACGGGGTCGTTTGGATTTAATGGGGGTCTGGGCCAGATAATGGGAGTGGGTTGGAGCGGATCTGATGAAATTTGGACCATTGAGGCCGGCCCAACGTTATTAAAACTAGGCAACCTCCTTTCTTCTTTGTTTTTGTGCTTAGCCACCAATTAATTAACCTAACATGTAAAGCTAAAAATTGCAAAATTAACCTATTTAATGAATTATCTAACAATTAGGCTAGTTAAAGTGTAAATTAACAATCTAAGTTAATTAGTTACACCTAAAAATGTAAAAACAAATAGAAAGATTAAAGCATTTTTGNTATATATATATATATATATATAATATATGATTTAAAATGCCACTAAATATGCTAAAAGTTCAAATAGTGCCAAAACAAATAAAAAATAAAGAAAAATTCCTAAAATTTCATAAAGATAATTAAAACTAAATTAGAGTATTTTTAGGAGTAATTTAGGCGTGGGGAAAAAATTACCTGCTCACAGTTGCTCCTCTCTGCTCGAGAACATGAAGAGTTTTCGGGCAAAGATAAAAGTGAGCAATCATGAGCAAATTTTGCCCGTTTGATACTCCATGAGAAGCATTTTGAAAAAGTTTGACCGAAGCTTGCTTCCGAGGTTGCCTACATATCCTTGGCTATAAAGGAATCATGTTAGTGTAGTTCTGGGAATTTTGGTAGTTGGAATTACCGAAAAAAGTGTGATTTTACTGCTATTGCTGCTGTTACTACTTGTTGAACTCCTTATACACTAAAATCAAAATGAAAAGAAACTAAAAAAGCGTATCATCTATGAGTTACAAGGTTCCTATCTCTAAGTCTTCTGAAACTTGATCTTGAGTCTTGACTGGTTCTTGATGTAGACTCTAATATGAACCTTGATACTTGCTAGCTGCAGGTGCTAGTTCATTCTTCTTCGGCTTTTTCGGATCAAGACAGGACAATGCAAAGCTCGTGACTTCAGTCATGTCTTGAGCGGTCCACATATTTTCATCCGCTTCTACATTTGGATTCACTACTTTTTCTTTTTTTTTCTTTATTTTGGATTGAGACATCTTCTTTTGGTCGTATCAAATCCCGTGCCTCGAGGTAAAACCTGCTCATACACCCAAAAAAAAAACAAACGAACAAAATTTTTCTGCCCCAGTTTTCACTAGAAAAAATTCGTAAGTTATTTGTAATAAAATTCTATACTACTTCATTACTGAAAAGAATAAAAGGTCGGGATTGGTGTACCCTGGAAAAAAGAGACTAGGGAATGAAGACCCTAAATCTAAAAATAAAATCAACTAGGGAGTGGAGACCCTATGTCTAAAAACAACGTCAACTAGGAAGTGGAGACCCTATGTTGGGAAAGGAGACTAGGGAGTGGAGACTCTATGTCTAGAATAACATCAACTAGGGAGTGGAGACCCTATGTTGGAAAAGAGACTAGGGAGTGGAGACCCTATGTCTGAAATAAAATCAACTAGGGAGTAGAGACTCTATGTTGAAAAAGAGACTAGGGAGTGGAGACCCTATATCTAAAATAATATCAATTAGGGAGTAGAGACCCTATGTTAGAAAAAAGACTAAGGAGTGGAGACCCTATGTTAGAAAAGCAGACGAGGGAGTGGAGACCCTATGTCTAAGATAAAATCAACTAGGGAGTGGAGACCCTATGTTGGAAAAGCGACTAGGGAGTGAAGATCCCATGCCTAAAATAAAGTCAACTAGGGAGTGAAGACCCTATGTTGGAAAAGAGACTAGGGAGTGGAGATCCTATGTCTAAAATAACTTCAACTAGGGAATGAAGACCCTATGTTAGAAAAAGAGACTAGGGAGTGGAGACCCTATGTCTAAAAATAAAATCAACTAGGGAGTGGAGACCCTATGACTAAAAATAAAATCAACTAGGGAGTGGAGACCCCATACTACCATGATTTTGAACTTTCGTCCTTTTTTCTTCTTTTTACTAAGAGAATGAGTAAAATGCGGGAAAGAATTTGGAGAAGACTTCCCTTTTTGGAGTTGTTGTTGCGGCAGAGCTATTTTAGTCTCCGCACGGTTTTCTTTTGGTTGCACCTACTCCTTGTAAGGTTGATTTGGATTGCACCTATTTCCTGTTTTTTCAAACAAAGAACAATTTGTCAGTTTGAAACGGTGGTTGGTTTTGTGGCCTTGATTGTTTCAGTCACTTGATCTTGACCCAACTCCTTTGATGATACTTTCAACTACAACTGGTTGTTTCCTGAAGACCGATTTCATTCCTGGCCCCGGAGAACATTTGGCTTTTCCAACTTGCCATGACGGTTGGTCACGTGGGACTTAACCTTTTTCAACTTTATTTTGCCTTCGTGGGCATTTCAATCCGATTTCTTTCTTTCAATTTTTAACTTCAGAGCATTTGGGGAACCTTTGGTTCTTCAAACTTTGCCAAGATGGTTAGCCACTTGGAACTTAACCTTTTCAACTTCATTTTGCTTTTGTAGGCACTTCAATTTGATTTCCTCCTTCCAAGAGTTTTTGATTTTGAAGCATCGGCCACCATGGCCAGTCGGGGTTGACTTGACGCCCCTGCCGAGGCTGGGTGCCTTTTTTGCATTTTAGCTTGTATCAAACGAAATCCCTGTAAATCAGTCTTGCAATCCATTCTTTGCCTTAGTTTCGGAACAGAGTTAGACCGAAAGGGATTCAAAGACAAACAAACAATGGAATAGACAATGAATTTAGACAAAAGGTATCCCTTTCAAGGAAAGGAAAGAAGGACTTATCTGGAGTACGTGCAGACTTCAATGAACATGACATGCCTTTTGGACTGGATGCCTAATTTGTATAAACCGTCTGACTCTCAGAAATTCATCACAGCGTTTGCCTCGAAACCGAGAAACCTTGCCCAGGACTGTGTCGATGCCAGTGACTGTGAGAATCTTCTCTTTCGATCAGTGGCGCCCTTTGCGGGTTTTCACCAACTGACCTCTCTCTTTTCTCTTCTCACCATCGTCTTATAGTGCTCTTTGCGAGTTTTCACTAACAAGACTCTCTTACTTTTAATTTCTCTACTTACCATCGTCTTACGGTACCCGTGAGGGTTTTTACCGATAAGACTCTCTCATTTTATTTTTCTCATTTAGTTGTATCATATCCAAACGGCTATATCCTTCAATTTTGAACATCTTTGCCGATTGATCGGAAGGCCTTGAAAAAGATTTGAGAATTTGGATTGAATTACAACTTTGGAACCTTTCCGGCGAAACCATCGTCGAAACATTATAACATCTTCCCCAGTTTCACTTTTGGGGGAATTTGGATTTTTGTTTTGGTGTGACCGAACCCCAGAGAGAGGCTTCCTACGTACCCTTTCAGAATCAAGTCGAACGTAGTTCAAGGAACATGAACTATTTTGATTTTTGCTTTGTTTTTCTTCTGTTTTGTTTTCTTTTTTCTTTCTTTTTACTTTCCTTTTTCCTCTTTTTTTCATTTTTCATTTCATTTTCTTTTTGTCTTTTTTTTTTCTTTTCTTTTCTTTATTTTTTCAATAACACTTTCAGGTTCCAAAGAGAGTAATCAAAGGAAGGTAACCGGCTCAAAGGGTTGGCAAAAGGGTTAATGGTATTTGGATAGCGAGAATGAAAGCCTTCGTCTTCCAAATCAGAGAACAGTAATGCTACATAGAGGTTTATGTGTGGACCTTTCCAATTTGGAGCCCATTTCCCTTTAGCTTCTTCATGAGGTAGGAGGATACGTCTCAGAATGTGTTGTCCTATTTTAAATTTTCTGGGTCACACTTTCTTGTTGTAGACACGGGATATTCTTTGTTGGTACGACTGCCTGTGGCAAACTGCGGCCAATTATTTTTCATCAATCAGTGTCAATTATTCCAATCAGTTCTGGACCCAATCTTTATCCTCAATATCGGCTTCAACAATGATCCGAAGAAGGGGAATCTCAACTTCGTTCTAATTAGTCTATTTATTTTCTTACAAGCCTTGTCTTCAAAACATTCTATTTCTTGATTCATTATTTTAGGGTCTGACAACATTTTAGGATCTGAGCATGAAGTCCGCAAGCATGTCATGTCATTAAAATCTGCATTAACAGAACTAAAAAGAGAATAAGAAAAGAGACATTCATGGACAATGAAATATTAATTTCATTTGATTTGATTGTTTTTCTTAAATTTTTAAAGATAAAAGGGTTTACATCAGAAAGTAAGACAATAAAGTAAAATATTCGGATTACACCCTGAAATAATTTGGACGCAGAAAAGATGCAAGACAGGCTATCGAGACTCCCGTATGATAGGGAACTTTTAGGTTTGGCGACTATTTTTTGGTTTTTCTTCTGTCTCGGTAATGGCTGCAATGGCCTTCAGTGCCGTATCAAATTCCCTATCATCACAGACCATTCCAACGACTGGCCCAGTGTTGTGAGCAGGCAACAGATTGTTCATCATATTAGGGGCCTCTTTTTCCCTGGGAACTATTGACTTGGCCTCAATAAGGTCTTCCACTGCTCTTTTGAGAGTCCAACAATCTTCAGTATCATGTACCACTGCTCCAGAGTGGTATTCACATCTAGCATCAGCTCGGTGCGAGGGGGACTTGGCGTTTGGCCGGTTTGGGGCCACTGGCTGCAGCAGACCTAGCCTGACTAGCTTTTGGAACAAGCTAGAGTATGATTCACCAATAGGGGTGAACTGATTACTTCCGGGAGGCTCTCTTGGGCGAGGATTGTATTGGGAAACATTTTTTGGGGGATTATATGGAGCTTGGTAGGGACGGGCATTTCTGGGAGGTGGAGCTCGATTTTTTGTATAATGATGTGGCCGCATGTAAGGTTGCGCATTCATCACCGCATAGGGAAGCGGTGCCACAACATAAGCAGCATCTTGATGGGGATAATAGTGTTGTGGGACCTTAGGAAGTATATAT